AAAATAGTAATAAGGAAAAATATCTTAAACAATAACAGTGTTAAGAATTTTTTACCGATTTAAAAGACATTAGATTAACAATTGCATTTCAAATAGGTAAATATGTCATTTTATCAATGTAAATGGTAATTATGACCATTGCATATGAGTGCTCTTGATAAATTATCGTTGAATATTGATTAGTAGTATTCAAACATTTTTATATAAGATATTTAATTTAAAATACGCAGTATTTCCGGAAAATATTTAAAAATTAACTTTTCGTGCGAAATTTCTATTTTGAATATTCTCTGTGATCAAATGCAAGGTCAGGTTTTTAAAAAATTTATTTTAGATAAAATAATGATAAAAGATGGAGGATTGTTATTGAATGTGCTATGAGAACAGGTGATGTATGCGTATATGATGTGGGAAATTATGTCAAATGGATATTTAGGAGATGAGTGGTTGGCCTCAAGTAGTTGGAATAAAGGCCAGGGAAAAAAGATGAAACAGATGTCCATTTTCCTTGAATAACCACAAAGTTTAATAAGTCTGAAGTATACTTTTCAAAATTGGTTAATAAACTAAAATTATTTTACGTGTTTTGTTCATTTGAAACTTTCTTTTTTAATTTTAATAGACTTATTGCAGAACTGAAATATTCCTTTAAATAGTACATATACATTTAAATACTCGGAATACTAAATATTAACATTTTTAAAATAAAAATACTATATTTTAACGACATAGAATTCTATATCCCTAATTGATATAAAACTTATATTACATATCTCATTCAAAATTTCAGAATTATAGACATAGTTTATTTTAAAAAGTGACTTTAGCAATAACTTTTACCTTCATTAACTGAAAATTTAAAAATAATCTTTTGATATCTTTTAGCTTTGATGCGAAGCTGAGAAGGTACTGGTTTTACTATGATGTGTTTTTTTTTGTGCCTGTTACTACTTTTTCTCAGCTCTCATCGAACCGATTTCTTTCAACGATACATCAAAAGATCACAAATCGTATCTAATCGAAGACATTACCCTCAAAAATTGAAAAAATTCCCTCGTTCCCCGTAAATGGGGAAACCTCCAAAAAAATTACAAATTTAAGAATCGCTAATTTTCGAAATTTTTTCAATTTTTTTTTACTAAAAACTGCCATAACTTTTTTAAAAATGAACATATTAACATAATTTTTTTTTTTCATAGACGCTTGATATCTTGACCTATCATTTAGTATATTTTTTATAAATCTGACCCTTTACCTGTCCACAGGGGGGGATTTAAAATGACAACTTTTTCACAAAAAATTTATTTTTATACTTAACTTTTGAAAGTGTTCCGGAATGTCTGACACTTATATATATCTTAAATTAAAGCTAATGTATTGTACTTTATTATGAAAAAAAAAAAATTTCTGACTTTATTTTGTCTTCATTGTGAAAATAGCTACTGAATGCTAATTTTGTGTGAAAATTCTCAATTTTATTTTTTACATTTTTAAATTTATTATAATGTTATAACTTATTGAAAAGTATATGGATCAACACAATTTTTTTATGAGAAATAATATTTTTTATTAATCCCTTTTTCATTCAGGATATTAATAAGGAAATAGAAGATCATGTAGTTTTTGGAATAATCTACCAATTTTTTAAAATTAAACACTATCTAAAGATTTGCATAGAAGCGTTTTATTTTATATTGATTTTAATCATTTTCAGATATCATTATACTTGACCCAACTATGCCACGTCATTACTGTGCCGCGATCCCACTGTGCTGGGTTTTTTTTTTTTATGTCAATACTTATTTTTTAACAATAAGTAATACTATCAAAACTTAGAAGTGATAGAAAAAGTCTAATTGGAGATTTAAAAACAGCGCGAAAAGTTGAAAAAGAAAACTATATTTTTGTTTATTATAATTACTTTGTAGAATAATGGTAATTAGTATAAACCAATAGTACTTAGTATTAAGGATGTAATAAATTAGTAGCGATATGTATTTAGGGAGCAGAATAATAATAATTGGTAATTAAGGGAGAGAAAAAATAGTATTTCAGAGTAATTAATAAAGAGCAGGTAGGGGGAATTAGTAATTAAGGGTGAATAATAAAGATCAGATAGAGGGGAATTAGTAATTAAGGGTGACTAATATAGAGTAGTTAGGGAAATTTGTAATTAAGGGGGATGCTAAAGAGTAGTTAGGGGGAATTGATAATTAAGGGGGTATTTTTATTAACTTGTAGATTCTGTAATTTTTAATTTAAAAAATATATAGTGTTCTATAACTATTTTTTTTTTGTATCTGTGAACGCTCAATCTCAGCTTGCGCTGGACCGATTTTGATGAACATAACATCTAAAGATCACAAATCGCATCTAGTAAGACATTACCTTCAAAAAATGAAAACATTTCTCTCGTATCCTGTAAATGGAGGAAATCCTCCAAAAAGTTACAAATGTAAAAATTGCTAATTATCATCATTTTTTCAATTTTTTTTACTAAAAACTGCCGTAACTTTTTCAAAAATGAACAAATCAATATAATTTTTTTTTTTATAGATACTTAATGTCTTAGTGTTTATAATAAACCTTTCATTTGGTATATTTTTGTTTATAAATCTGTCCCTTTGCCTGCCTACAGGGGGATTCAAAATGTCAACTTTTTTACAAAAAATTAACTTTTTCAACTTAACTTTTGAAAATGTTCTGGAAAGTCTGATACATTGATATATATCTTTAATTAAAGCTTATGTAATATACTTTAATACTAAAAAAAAAAAAAAAAATTCGGACTTTATATTGTTTTCACGGAGAAAATGGCTACCGAATACTATTTTGTGTGAAAATTCTAGATTATATATTTAAATGTTTAACTTTATAATGCTATAACTTATTGAAAAGTGGATTAATACAATTTTTTTATGAGAAATAACATTTATATCCCTCTTTCATTCGATATATTTTATCTTAATCAGGATATAAATAAGGAAATAGGAGATCATGTAGTTTTTGGAATAATCCACCAATTTTTTAAAATTAAACACTATCTAAAGATTTGCATCGAAGCGTTTTTTATGATTAAAAACATATTATCACTGTCAGATATCATTATACTTGACCCAACTATGCCACATCATCACTGTGCCCTATGCTGAGTTTTTTTAATTTTTATAATAATTAATTACAATAATTAACTAAGAACCTTTTTATGTTTGTTAAATTTTGCACTTTATATTATTAACACATTTGAAATCAATTAAAATTCCTATGATTTATTATAATACACAATAGTAGAAATCACCTATTTAGCTAGATGGTAACTAGTTAAAGTTTAACTAGTTACCATCTAGCTTAGATTAACTGTTAATATTAGTTTAACTGTTAAACTAATAATATTCATCTTTTAAAAGACCAATGTCTCATTTTCATCTGCATTGGACGGGGCAAAAGGGGCAGTTGTCTTCTCTTGACTTTATATCTGGTCAATTTTCATAATTGTTGTATACTATAAAATTTTACGAAATAAAATATTTTTAAATAAAAGATAAAAAAAAATGTATTATTATAAAATTATATTTGAATTTCAGGATTAAGAACAATGTATTTTATTTTGTTTTTTATTTATTAAATTTATAGAGACACTTTATTTAATAAATACATTAAAATACTTAAAATATTTTAATTATAACTTTTTTTTGCGAGACCAGTGGGTTCCTATAATAATAACAATTTAGCATCCTCAATTTTTAAGAATGTTAAATTTTATTTCCAACCTACCCTAAAAGATACTATATATATAACAACATATATAATTTTTAAATTTTTTTGAGGAACTAATTTGTTAATTGAGATAGTTAGGCTGCTTCTTATTATGCCTATGGCGAGGACTCCAAAAAAGTGCGGTTCCTTGTCTAAGGACTCCGATAACCTTCTTCCTTTTTACGTTGGGTTTGTTTAGCAAACAGTGCAACAAAAGTTTTAAAAAAATATTTTGCACCCCCCATAAAAAAATGCATGCGGCGCAATGTCTTTAATGTAACTCCAAAACGTTTATCGATAAATATACAAATAATTACCAGATTTGATTATATTTTCTTTAATATTTTGATAGATACTGATCGTATCTGATTTTTTTTTTAATTGATGTTGTACTATCAATAAAGAATTTAATTAATTAAAGCATAGTGTTACAAATATTTAAAATCATAAACATTATATTTAGCAATTTACTCCAATTATATCCTTAATCGTATCATTTATACCACTTTATTTTACCATCTGTCTTTTAAAGAGTTCGTGGTACCGTAAAGAACTTATGTTATTTTAACATAATACTTAGATTTATAAAGGTATGAAACTCAACATTAATGTAAGGTATATAATAAAATACAATTTATATCATACAAAAGGACGATAGAGTGGTTCACCTAGAACGTATGGTCAACAAAAAAAGAGTAACTGAGGCAAATACTCGTTTTGGGATAAAAAAATTATGCCCGCAAATATATTTGTCCCTAGGGAACAAATCACTGAGTTGGCTATAACCTAATCCTATACTACATTATATGACGAACCGTTGGCAAAGATTTTTAAGAACTAAAATACATACATTCACAAAATATTTGATATGAGTTACACATATAAAGAATTAATTATAATTAATTATTTATACTAATTTTTATTTTTATACATGTTTGTCAAAGAAGTAATAAAATTCACTACTTTATCTATTTTTATTGTTTCTCCGTAAAAATTACAATATTAAACTATTAAATATTAGTTTCTTACTATATTTAATTGCTATAATTAATATTTAATCATGAATTATACTTTTAAATCTAAGAACTACCAATCAGGATATATTTAAAGAAAATAGTAGTTGATGCTACTTTTTTAATTATTCACCAATATCTTAGAATTAAACAGATTTGTATCGAAACGTGTTTTATGACAGTGAATTTAATCACTGTCAGATATCATCTATACTTGTCCCAACTATACCACGTCCATACTGTGTCACGACCCCACAGTGCTATCGTTTTTTAAAAATATTTATAACATTTCTAAGTTTAATTGAAACGCGAAAGCTTTGCTTACCACTAATATTTATATACATTTGATTTTTGTCACAAAATCGTATAATAAAATTGTTTTAAATTGTTTCAGGTTTAAAAGCATCACTTTCAGTTGATTCAATATTATTTTATGTGGTCATATTTTACTACATTACTGTAAGGTAACAAGAATCATAATTAGAGTTGAAAAAACTAAATCACCTTTACTGAAACTTAAATAAATTTTAAAATATTATGTAATATATGTAAATTATGAAGTAATAATTGATAATACAGGGTGTCTCGCAACAGCTATTTCCTGTATTGGAAAAGATCTGTTTCGAATAAATAGAAAATTAAATTCTAAATATTCTGTTATATAATACTTTGTTAAAATACAGTTTAAACCAAATAAGTCTAATTTTTTCCTGTTTTGCTTAATTATCTTGAAGAAAAGCATATTTATTTAATATATAATAATAGGTACTCCAAACTTTTGGTTCATAAATAAGTAAAAATAATAATACTTCAATCATATTAAAAGAAGATTTCGTTCAAAAATGACTTATTTTACTAAAAATATATCAAGTTTTCATGTCATAATAGTCATAATTATGACATGAAATACTTGATATATTTTTAGTAAAATAAGTCATTAATTGATTGTAATTATTAATTCAATTTCTTAAAATAACTTGAATAAAGAAGCTTTTACCAACCAGAATATTTACATTATAGGTAATAAGTCGTACGAAAACATTTTATAAAAATTTTCATAACACAAATATTTTAAAATACTGAACTATAAAAAAATTCATTGACAAATAAAAAATATTTTCTTATTAAATCAATTATTTTATGAATCTTTCGATATTTTTGAAAACATAAAAAAATGACAAAATAAACAAGTCTAAATGTCTCCTATGTATATTTTTTTTCTACAAAAATATATTTTGACTCTAACTTCCTAACCTTTTCAAGCGTTTTAATAATGAATTGTTATAGCATAATTTCTTTTCATATTCAATGTCGATTTACACTTATTTACTATAATTTGGTTATTTTTCTTGATGTATGTAATGTTGTATGTATGTATGTTCATATTTTTAAAGAATCAATAACACACATGTTATTGATTTTTAATTTATTGTATTTATAGTCCAAAAGGATCATAAATGCAGTTAATTATGCTGGAAATAATTTATTTTATACCAACAGAATTTTAATTGTGTAATGAGTTATAACAAACATTGTAAGTATTTAAAATAATTACTTATTTCTAAAATGTATAAATGTATTATGTTGTAATAAACTTTAAGTTACAAACTAAAATTATTGATATATTTACAAAAGTACAATGTTTACTCTCACATATAAAATAAACATTACATTAAAAATTGTAAAAAGTATAACAGATAGTATGTTATTTGTTTTTATGAAATACAATAATAAATGTTCATATTTTATCGATATATTTTCTTTTATCTTTAATTTTCCTATTCAATATTTTTATTTATATTAAATATTGATTTATGCTTTGTGAATTTTTAAAACTTGTGTAAAATTACTAAATGAGATTTAAACATTGCAAAAATACAATATTATTATTTTTATTAGCTTAATTTGATAATAATAAATTATAAGGGAAACATAAAATCTATCTACTATTTGAAACAATCATGAAATTACCAATATAGTGTTTAGAGTGTATTATAACTCGACGGACTTAATTTAAAATTTAAATTTTAGTATGAGCATTTAATTCTTTAGTCACTACAAGTAGAACACACAAACAAAAAATGTTCCTATGTAAAATTATATAAAATTTTAACACATAATTAGGATTAAAAGTTTAATATAAAAAATACTAAATATTGGTATTAGGTAATAAATTTTAAATAAATCATTAAGAAATTTTAGAATTAACTACTTAAAAACATTATACCTCGTGGAAAATATAATAATCATTTTTTTATAGCACTTTAATCAGTATTGTAAATTAGACATTTCATCGACTATCAGAAATATCTGTCTAATATGGAAATTTAATAAAATAATACAAAAAATATTCCTTAGTGATTATTTGATAATAGTTAACTGATAATAATGTTTATTGTTAATCATAATTAGAGTCCTAAATAAATGCACTTAAATTTTTTTTAATAATATATATTTATGCATAAAAATTTTGAAATTCATATAATATAAAAAACATATATTTATTTTTAACTTAAATATTTAGTTAATTAATACTTAGTTGTTTGAAAAAAAATTATCAAGAAATATTTTCTTCAAGTTTCACCATGATAATGTTCTATTTTTTACAATAGGCAATATAGTTTAATAATATCATAATGTAGTTGTTATTAATTTCGTTTATTATAACGCAATTAATTACAAAATAAAAATAATTTAATTAATTTGAGCTGAAATTAAAAAAAAGCTGGACCTTTTTTAGTTTTATGTATTTTGTCCATTCTCATGCGTTATAAAGGTAACAATTTATATTTACAAAATTTATAAATTAATAAATAAACAATTTTATTATTAATAGTATCAATTAAATACTTTATTTATTTGAATAAAAACATACATACTTAATTCTTTTTTATTATATAAAAATGTCTACTTAGGAAATGACTGGTCGATAGTAATTTTCGAACTAGTATTATCAGAGCTTAAGATTTGATTTTTATTTAAGAAAAAAAAATCAATAAATTGCTTATATTTCTAAATAAAATTAATTATTGAAGAAAATTCAAGTAAGTTATAATTATTTTTTTATAAACAACTGTGTAACATTTTTATAATTTNTATTTTAATGTATATAATACATTTATGAGGTATCTCATAAACATTTCGAAGATCGATTTTTTTTGAGCCACCCTAATGTAGGTATGCTAAAAATCTAACAGTACTAGGTTACATTTAATTATTCATTAAAAATTGAATATTTTACTACAAAAATATTTTTAAAAATGTTGGAAAAAATGTACATGCAAATATTTACTGATTAATTAATTAAATGAATTTTAGTTTTACTTAATTGAGATAACGTTATTTCGTTACATAAAAAAAGAAAAATAATACTAATAGAAGGCAGCAGCTGTCATTTAATAAAAAAATTAAGTACTTTTGTGTCAAGGAATTACTTAATTTAAATAAGCCTTAGCTATTATAATAGAAAAATTTTACAAAGGGCCTTCAAACATAACTAATATTTTTTTGCTAGAGGCCCGAAGTAATTTATACTCTAATATTCTTATCTAAATATTATTTTAATCTTACACATATTTTTATTTTGATCACATATATTATATAGTTCGTATTGTATAAAATGTATTTATATTTATTTTGCAATATTTGTTTAATAATTATTAATCATATTTTTAAATATTTAATATAAAATATATACTTAATATTTATGCATATTTTTAATTTTATTTAATTATATTTATGTATTAAACTGTGTTTTTATGTAAAAACATCTTTTGCAGTGTCAAAAAGTTGTCGCTTTAAGAGTGAAAATTTTTGAGTGTTACCTTTTTTCATAACGCTCTAACTCAACCCACCGGGTATTTATTAATTAATTAATAAAGATTATTATTATACGGTTTCAACAGTAATACTACTGATTTCATTTTACCGATAAAATTCGTCAAGTTTTCAGTTGTTCGTTTGTCATTGGTGGTCAAAGTTATTAAAAATTATGTGTTAAAATTACTATATAATATATAATTTCATAAATAATACATGTTTATTAAATATAATTTTTAACAATTTAAAAAGCACTCGTGAATGTTGCTACACTTTAAAAAAAATGTCCGTACTTTCCATACAAGTACTGGAAGTTTATTATTTAGGGGCTAATATATATAGTGATAAAAATGTTATATATGTGTACGATTTTTTTGTACTTAATTTCAAAATTACACTACTTGTGTGCAAAAGTAACATGTATATTACAATTATTGCATTAACAAATAGAAATTTTTGAATCATTTGTTATAGGGTATCATATATTATTTTTTCACATCTTCCGAGAGTCTTCCGCGACTCTCAAAGTTTTTTTTATTAATTATAAATTAAATTAGTTCTTTTTATGAATAGAAAGCGCGTGTTTCCTCAATCCAACAATAAGAAGTGAGTGTCAAGACCACTTCTGGTGTTACTTATTAATTACCAATTAATATTAACGAATGTATTCTAATATCGTCTATGATATCTAATTTATTTGTTTAAATATTTTATTTTGTTATCAGAATTTTTTTATGGATTTTGATACATTTGTATATTTGACTACATGTAACATCATTTTCATTTTTCAACAATTAAAGTAAATTTTTTTATTAACCTTAAATAAAAAATGTATTTTTATTAACCGAGTACCTTAAGTATTCGCGTGTATTTTATTTCATTTCATTATCTAAAAGTGTACTACGATATGTTATACAAGGTGTTCAGTAAGTCAGAAAACGGGTTTCTATTGTTCTCATTGTTTGTAACAATGAGAACAATAGAAACCCGTTTCCTGACTTACTGAACACCCTGTATATATCAACCACATGCAACTTAAATTGTATTAGCTGTACTAACTAAAACTGCGTGTCTCGCAAAAAAAAAATACATAGAAAAAAATGTTTAAATCACTTTTTTATCATCAGTGAAAAACCCCTCATTTTATAAATTTTTGAGATACGCAGTGTTGCAATATAAATGACAATATATTATGACATACAGATGAAATCGTATAACACATTTAATATCTATAGTTAAAATTCAGATTTTTCGAGGTTATTTTAACTTCACATGTTATTACGCACAACTATTCCATTCACTAATATATCTATGACTTAAAGATTTCAAAACCATATGTAAAAAAAACACATTTATTCTGTGCATTTCTAAAACTTTTTAAATTTTGTGCATTTTAATTGCTTCTTCAGTAACCTAATACATTCATAATATCAAAGATTTTCAATGACAAATCGCAAATAAATCTCTTTAAAATGACAGACGTTCTCTTAAGTAATTACCAATTAGCATATAACTTTTCCGCTCTAAAGCAAAATATAGAGTTTTTAAAAAGAACACTGAAATCGTATTTTCTCATATATGATGTATAAGTTTATGATTTTACCATAAAAATTGAGATCCATCTATGACAATTATGCTGTCCAACTTCAAATCTCAGTAACTAATATTCTTATCAAAATTTAATTTTTACATATTCTTGGGAATAATAACTTGACGAATTTTTTGATAATTATTCAAATTTAATAAGTTCAACATTATTGATATTTTTTTAGGAAACTTCTAAGAAATATGGAATATTTTAACTTTATATTTCTATAAAATTTTCATAAATGTATGGATCAATTCAATTTTTTTATGAGAAATACTATTTATGTAGTTTTTTTATTCAACATACTTTTTTTTTAAATCGGACCATTTCCCTTTATAAAGGGGTGGTTCAAAACTTGAAAATGAGTATAGAAAGTGGAAATTTTTCAATTTATTTTTAATTAAAATATATTTATTGATT